CATTGGGATTCTTTAATGAAATAAGAAGAGTCAAAGGTATAATATCCCAGGTTTTTTTCATTTGATACTGTTTATTTAATGAAAGGGGGAAAGGCAGCTTAACAGGTTTCATAGCTGAGTAGAGGAGCAAGGAGAGAGAACAGAGAGAGAGCATGGAACAAAGTTTACAGTGGACAACGCAGATCCCACAAGTGAGATAGAGAAATAAGATCCAAGGGTCTGCAATTCCTAGCATCCCAGGAATTCAGAGAGTATTGGATTTGAGAAGGCACATGCTGCTCAGTGATTCATCAAACACAGACCAGGGGTCAGGGCTCTGAGCCCGAGAGATGAGAAGGCATAAGCTGGCCAGCAGGTTCATCACCCAAATGTACGGGGACCGTGGGAGTGCTCAGCCCCAAGAGACAAGTGGTTGCCTGATATCAGGGCTTGTTATGGAGGCAAGAAACCACAATCACGAGACAAATTCTCACTCATGGGAAATAATCAGAGAAGGAGGGCTCACCAACAGTACCGGTGTAGGATGAAGGGGTCCAGTGATCCATTAGTTGCAGAAGTGAGACTGTTGTATGTGGACAAGATTCCAGGGTTCTGGCATGCTTTGGACTGCTGGTGGGCAGGAGGAAGCACCAGAAGAATCTGCTGAGATCACAACACCAATGTTATTTAAAATACAGCAGGGGAGAGAATTGCCATCATGGGACAGAGCTCACATGGTGGATATTTTATTGGGAGGAGGGAAGGGACAAGACTGGCATCTGGAGACAGATGCAGTGGGAAAGAAAAAAAGAGAGGGATAGAGAGGTAGAGAGAGAGAGAGAGAGAGAGAGAGAGAGAGAGAGAGGAGGTGGATGGGGCCACCTTTTATGAGGGGACTTAACTGTAGGGACACAGCTGATGAAGTTATCAGGACTCTAAGCAGATCAGTATACTGCCTGAGTACTGGTGAGTACATCCTGCCATTGACAGGCCAGAATAATGCCTGAATGCTAACCAATATGTTCTTCAGATAGATTGTGATAGAGCTTTGAAAAGAACTGGCTTTCATGATGCTTTGAAAATGAATCAATTTTTGATGATCAATAAACATTATAAGCTTATATTTTAATCTCTCTCTCACACACACACACACACATACACACATACGCACTTCTCTCTCCTGCATATGCTTTCAGATTCATTCTGCCTTAAATACATAACAATAAAACAAGCAGACAGATGAGAGATGGAGAGAGAGAGAGAGAGAGAGGGAGAGGTATGTAGGTAAGTAAGTGGGTAGAAATAGATATCAGAAAGGGAAAACTTCTCTCTATCCTCTAGGAAAGAGAGATGGCCACAGGTTCTTTAATGAGAACCTGGAACCAAATTGAGATTAGCAGTGTTGGGAAATTAATAATTAACTCTATGGTTGAAATTAGAAAGTCAAAGAGAGGTGGATCCATATCTGTGTGTATGTTTTGCTAAAGATAAAACCCAAGGCCAAAGATAATTCCTGGTGTCAACAGGATATAAAAACAACCTTTTACTCAGAAACATGGGCAAGCCTCCCAAACGTGAGCTGCATTAGTGAGACATCAGGCCTTGTCATCACAAAACGTCCTGGTTAGTGTCTGAAAGGACCCAAGAAATAGAGGCAGAATACTGTAACATGAACAGGGCCAGGCCTGCTTGTTTGGGTTTCTGTCCTGCCCTTTACCCCACAACTGTTTAGCCCCAAAGAAAATCACACATAGATCTCTATAAGTTATAAAGCTGATTGGCCCATTAGCTCTAGCCTCTCACTGGCTAACTCTCACATCTTGATTAACCCATTTTTCTGATCTATGTTAGCCACGTGGCTCAGTACCTGTTTTCAGTGGGGCAGATGACATCCTGCTGCTTCTGTGGTCTGGGCAGGAGTGGGAGGAATCAACTTCCTCCTTCCCAGAATTCTCCTGTTCTCATTACATCATTTCTACTTCCTGTCTTTTTTTTTCCCACCTATATTTCCTGTCTGGCCAATCAGCGTTTATCTATAACATGATTGACAGAATACAGACAATTCTCCCGCACCAGGATACAGCAAAAGTCTTGGGCAGAAAAGAAAGAAGTTTCTACTTGATCTAAAATTTTGAAGTGTCTAAAATAAGTTGATACTGAAGAAAGGGCAGTGAACTGAACAACCAGGTGATATGTTACACACTAAATAAAAATATAGCACAATTACAAAAGTACTTCAATTTCAAAACAAAACACAAAACTCGAAAATGGTTGCTGTTCTAGAATCAGTACCAACTGGCTATTCTTACATATAATATAAATATCCTTAAATGTAAAAATATTGTCAGTTAAATAAGTATAATAGATAAGATAAAGTTTATTGGATATAATCAGGGAGAATTAAATAAAATGGAAAAGAATTAATTTACTTAAAGGACAATGCAGAATGATGAAAGGAAAAACATGAAATAAAAATAGGTGATAACTTGACAAATGCCAACATTCATCTAGAGAAAAAGGAGCTGGTAAAGACAAAGTTTGAAATAAATAATAACTGAAAGTGTGCAGAATAGAAGAAATAATGCAACCTAATGAATACTCAATGAGATTAGGTTAAATTATAATTTGGACACTTCATAAAAGTGTAGAATATTGATAATGAGAAAAATATCTTAAAAGCTAATGGAAGACTAAACATAGAATTTAGTAGAGTAGATAGAGATGTCGTAAGGGCAACATTAAATGCCAAAAACATAAAATGTTCAAATTGCCACTCTGAAGCTAGGCATGGAGACTCATACCTGAAATCCCAGCAGTCGAGTTACTGAGACTGGAGGATGTAGAGTTTGAGGCCAGCCTGAGGTAACTAGTGAAATCCTTTAATAAAAGTTATTTTTAAATTGTTCATTATTTTAAATTGAAGATATACCCAGCCAAACTGTTATTCAAATTTATTTTTATAATTTTGAGCATAAAAATAGAATTTAATTCTTAGTCTATTATACAAGAGCCTCTAAGAGATATATTTTATTTTAGCATGAACCAGAAAAGGTTTCCTTAAAGCAATTAATCCTTTCATCTTATAGAATATCAATGTCATTTGAAAAATAAGGAAATATCAAAGATGTTCCTCATTTATATTCATAAAACATCTGATTTTTTTAATGTGGCTACATTTATTACATACCTGGAAGTTCTTAGTTTTCAACCATATAGTACTCTGAAATCATAATCTTTATGGAAATATTGCGTGTTTATATGGAAAGGCAAAATTATCTTGTTAAAGAAAACCTGGAGAACATGAACTATTTTTTTCTGTAAATTTTTAAGACCTTGAAACTTTAAGGAATGGTATACAGAAAGCATAGGAGGAGGCCTCAGACATAGCTTAGTAATAGGACATATGTCAAACGTGCATTGATGTCTAGCACCATAATAAACTGAACTAAGAAGTATAAAAGGCATAACACATTAAATAACCCAGTTCTTATTAGCTGTTATTAATCTTGATAGCTTCTGAAAAAAAAACAGACATCGTCTCAGATTTGTCATGTTTAAGAGTAATGAGCTAGAAAGCTAAGATTACATGAGGGGACGCAAAAGGAAGAAACTGAGTGAGTAATTTCATGCAAAAAATAGATGGGAATATATTAAACATACTAGCCGGAAATACCAATATCCATAATGAGTTTTGTCTTTTATGTATTCTCTCAGTAACTGTGAATTTCTATAAACATGATTCATGCAAAGGTTACTATGTTTGCATATATTTATATATTGATATGTGTTTCTATAAATACACTTATGTGTATTTATATACATGCAAGACAACATAAACATTTAGGGTGTTGGGTAATTATATTTCTGGATTACACTGTATATCAAGAGATTGGCTGACTGTAGCAGGTACCCATCAATATATTTATAAATCATGCACACAACAAAAAAATTATAGAAATATACTATTTTAGGAAGTAATATATTAAATATTAATGTGAATTTATTATTCAACTAAAACAGGAAAATTTTATATAATCAAAATCTATTTAACCCTTATTTGCTTGTGTAAAAAAAAGAAAAAATTGTTACAAGAACATTCACTTGAAAAAATGCCTGTGACCTAATACACAGGCAGTCTCTGTTCTCTCTTAGTTACTTAATCATAATTCGTCTTATTATACCAGTGAAAATTTATATGTTATCTAACTAGAATCAGTAACCTATAGTCATTAATTGGAAGTTAGGTGAGTCAGTACAGCTCTGTTTTTCCTCCAGACATAGTAAACTGTTGAATATGTACTTAGTATTGAGTTGTTTAGCTATAACTAGATACATGGAATAGTGCAAATGAACCATTATAATATCCCAGGGAAAGTAGGTAGGAAAGATATACAGTTATAATTGCATGGTATGGTCAATGATTTAGATGACACAATACTGTTTCATTGATAGGACAGTGGTATTGGACATTATAATCCACAAATATTAGAGGCAGTGGCTGGGACATGTTCAAAATACCAGCCATATAGTAGTGGGGTTTGGTAGTTGAGGAGTGGGTAGGTTCCTATGTCAGAAGCAGATATGAGGAACTGGAGTGCTGATTCCATTGATCAAAGTGCTTATAGATTTAGAGACTTAAGGGAGACAGAAATAAAAGAGACATTTGCCTTCTGGTTTGTCTGATTATGTAAGAACCAGATGAGATGTTGTGTTAGAAACCACAGGGAGTTTCTCTAAGGGCACAGCTATGTGTGCGGTGGTGAGAACATTTTCTTTCACCAATGTGTTGTGCCCTGGAATCGCTCAACAAAACGAGGATCCTGACAAGTCTTCTCCTGGTCCATGGAAGATGAGAAAGGAATGTCATTGTATGCATTTATTTTGAAATATTAATGGGGAGAAGCACTTCTCTAACCCGGGTTTCGCGTCATCATTCAGCTGGTGAGAGTTCTGTGTAGCCCATGGTTCTCTGGTTCACACTCTGCATGTGAGATAATAATCTTCCCTATCTTTAATTTCAGACATTTCAGCAGTCCTCTCTGCAGCACAAATCAAAGAAGAAGAACAAAGGTAATAAAAGAAAACAAAACTTGAACTTCTTTTGTACTACGATAATAATCACCAGCATATTTCATTAATTCTCTCTTTGCCTTGAAGCCAGTATGGTTTCGGATTAATTACCATGCAGATCCTTTGATATCATGTGATCCCAACAAGTCTTGAGATGAAAATTGCTATTTCCAATTATGTTGTCATCATATGTGGAAGAAAAGGCATCAAAGATGCCTGTATTTTCTGTGATAACACAATTAGAAAATGATAATTTTAAGATTGATAGTGTCTTGCTTGCTTTTAGGGTTTATGAATTAATCTCTTATCTTTATGCACATTCCAAAATTAAGAGTGTTGCTACTTACTATCTTTAGGAGCCATAGCAGGCAAGAGCAAAAGACGAATTTCTTGCAAGGATCTTGGCCGTGGTGACTGTGAGGGATGGCTTTGGAAAAAGAAAGATGCAAAAAGCTATTTTTCACAGAAATGGAAGAAGTACTGGTTTGTCCTGAAGGATGCATCCCTGTACTGGTACATTAATGAAGAGGTAAGACAGAGCACATTTGTGTTCTCATCGGTTCATTATCTGTAACAATAATTGTCAACATTTGAGACATATGATTTTAGATCGTATCACCCTCAAGCCAATTCGGGATCCATCTTCAGCATTCTGGATGACCTGTTGCTCCATTTTTCTAATGTAGCAACATACCTGAAGCACAATTAAAATATGGAGAAATTCTCCGTTTCTAAAGATACCAAGCAACTAATGTTATAGTTTAACTAAAAACAGAGATTTTTAAAAGCTCTTGCTCAAAGTTTTATAGGGATTTTCTTCTTCTGCTTTGAAAGAGGGGACTGCTTAGCAACTGAAGTCAGTAATTGTTTCAATTTATTTCAGTTTCTCCTAAAGAAAAAAATGAACTAGTAGACTAATATTGAAATTAAGTATCCATTACAATTGGACCACTTGAGGGAAGGGGCATGTTTAATGTGTTTTAATTGTTCTTACAACTTTTCTAGTTTGTTTGATATAACATATTTGTATCTAGACTAATCATGTAACAATCAGTCATGTATCTCACTGAATTGTCAAAGTGTGTTTTATTAGTTGATTTTTTTTTCTGCTTGACACAACATTACTTGTTTGCTGTACCTATCTACTACTTTGGTGTATTATAAACATATAGATTAATATATGTGTACATATAGGGTACTTGCAGTTTTATACAAATAGGATACTAAGATATTAAACAATTTGCATTTAAAGGGTAATTCCTTAAAGTTACCATAATTATTAGAACTTTGCTCGTAACGTGCACTATCTAGAGAATTTGATGTTCCCTGAACAAGCTATTACGCTGCTGTCTTACATCATGCTGAAAGAGCAGACTCAGGAATTACACTACTTGACCAATTGTATTTATCTCTTCATCTGCAAAAACGAAAATAATGATGCATATCAAACTAAGCTTTCTTAGAGATAAATAAATGAACCATGTCTGACAAAATGCTAAATGTTCAAATAATGTTATTCAATGAAGACTTATTTGGAAAATCTTAAAATAATAATTTCCTATATTCTTATGTGAAAATATTATTTCTTGTTTTGATAATTTATGGCAGTCATATAATGAAATAAAAATCTGTCTCACTAAGTATGTCTTGTTTATAGTAAGCAAATATGAATACATTTTATTTGCTAGATATACCAAATTTGGATGCATATCAATTAGCATCAAAATACAGTATCTCTGTTTTTCTTTATTGTGATTTACTTCTAGACTAATTTATAAGACAATCTGTTTTCTGCATATACTAAATTATAGTCTATCTTTCAAATTATAAAGGATGAAATTTTTGCGTGTTTTATTAATTAGTGCCTATATTTTAATCATTGACAAGTTGTTATTACTGTTACTCATGTAAAATATAAATGAATATTTTTGTAGTACATATTCCAGGAAAACCTTATTGTTATTTTAGGGAAATAGAGTATTTTATGTTGCATCATTATGAAGAGATAATATTCCAAATATATTTCAAGTTTTAAATTAAGGCCATCAAAAGTAACGTAAGCTAGAAGTCAAATGGAAGCATTTTCTTTAACGCAAGATTGAAAAAATATTTAAAGACAAAAATTTAATACTCTTTCTGTACATAACATAAATTTCAGTTGCTATCTACAGCTCAAACTTTTAACTTTTGCATAGTTCATTAATAATAGAAATAACGCAAATGCATATATACACGGGAAAAGGGAACTGAGAGTAGCTTTTTTTCATTAAAATAATGGAAGGGAGAGTAATCTTACTTCAGTTTGATACAGAAAGAGTTGTGGACTGGTGTAGCAGTTCCAGTACAATTTTGGAATGGTAAACATCTACAAAGCTTTGTTACAGCCAGAGCAAGGGACAAGATTTAGCCACCGAATCACTTCATACTTGATTAAACTCGAGACTAATATAAGGCTTTGAATAATATACCTACCCTGGTTTTATTAACTACTATTTAAGAGAGGAGTACTTATGAATTTTATTAATTTTTTAGATTAAAAATGGTATTATGTAAGAGAGATATCTAAAACTGCATATTTGAAAATCAAGTTGACCTATTTAATTTCCAAACTATTGAATACCCTAAAAATTGTTATATAAAAAAATCAAATTTGATTAAAAAATTGCTATGAAAGAAAATTTGAATTGGTAAGCAACTCCATATTTTATATCTAAATATTACAAGTGATCGAAAAGGGGGCCGGAGCGATTTAGTCAGCACTTGTTTCTAGCACCTACATGGTGGCTCACAACCTATTGTAATTTCAGTTTCCGGGGATTTGGTGCCATCTTCTGACCTCTGTCAGGCAACAGACATGCACATGTTGCTTGTACATGAATTCTGATAAAACTCTCATACACAGAACATAAATCACACCTTTCTAAATGATGGAAAATTTTGTACTAAAAATGTATAGCTGTTTTGTGTATCTGGTCTGAAACGGTTCCTTTTACTTTTTTTGGTTTATGTTCTAAAGATCAAACCCAGAGCTCAATACATCCTGCACAAATGAGTACTCTACCACTGAACTACTTCTTCAGGCCCCAATTTGTTTTTATTTTTCAGCCCCTCAAAAAATTATAAAGCATATTTTACTTTATAAATTATTTTCTATCCTCATATTAATATAAAAATAATGTATATATTTTAGTTTTTAAACATTCTAAGTTTTCAAAATATTAAAATTTCCTTTAATTTATGGATATGTAGAATTTATGAAATGTAAGTAGAATTAAGAACAAAATGAGTAGCACATTTATTACTCTAAGTATCTACATCACACCTACATGGTATAATTAGCTTCAGACTTCCTTGGTATGATACACTAATCAAAAGTGTTGCTTCTTTAGGATGAAAAAGCAGAAGGATTCATCAGTCTGCCTGAATTTAAAATTGATAGAGCCAGTGAATGCCGCAAGAAATAGTAAGTTCATTTTACTTGGAGAGAGGAGGGGGGGAAGGATAATTTATTTTGTAATTTTCTAGATTTTAAGTTATAGTTTGTTTATCTGATGATTTCAAACTGAGAGTATAAGAAAGCAATTTTGAGGGCAGAGCATGCATACAATTTTACTTATTTCTGTCGTGATAGAAGCATTATGTATGTGAAGTTAGGTTAGGCATTGCATTAATTTTATCCATACAAATTATTTAGTTTGAGCCAAACAGTTCTCAAAATTTTTTCTCTTGCATGTGCAAACACATAAAAACACCAGTGATGATGATAGACAAGGTATCACTATATAGCTCTGGCTGTCCTTATAACTCACTTTGTAGACCAGGCTGGCCTCGCACTGACAGAGATCCACCTGTGTCTCCCCTCCAAGTGCTGGAATTAAAAGCATGCACCACTATATAATATATTTTGATTACATTCTTTCACCTCTCTGAACTCATTTACACCGTTACAGGTACTTAAAACCATTTTTCAATTTGTCCAAAAGTCAGTGAAAATATTTATTGTTTTATTCACAGTGCATTCAAAGCCTGCCATCCTAAAATCAAAAGCTTCTATTTTGCTGCTGAACATCTTGATGACATGAACAGGTAAGGTATTATTTTCATCTCAATTACTTAATTATGCCTCAAATTCAAAATCTAAGCCTTGTCTTTAATATTCTTTAAAGAATTTCATTGTAGATTCTGTATTGGTTAATTAAAATTGAGTAGTTCAGCTATAGTTATACATGATCATACTTAATTTTAAAAAATATTTGCCTAATTCGTGATTTAAATTTCACATACAATACAATTTCTATTTTCAAAATAATAAAAAATATCATTTTAAAAATTCAACTTTTGTTGACTGTCAATTTTACCACAAAAGTACTATAAGTAATATAAATCCAAAATAGTACCGTAAAAACCAGGTTTTTAGATGTTAAATTTTAGGAATATATCTTAACATGTATTTCTAGATGCTCAGAAAAGGCACACAAAACCTGACTTATTCAGGTGCTAAATATATTTGGTGGAATATCCATTTCAATGATTTAGATGTAGCTAGTGTAGTAATTCTTCCTGTCCCATTCATGTAGCACTGGACAGGACTATGAAACCAACTGGTTTGGCTCTGCTGGGTTTCCACGGTGGCTAAAGAAAAGCCTGCATACATTTCCCTCTACATGTGCCCCATTGTTTCACATTACAATTTTAGTCACTTTAAGGTTGCTTTTGTTTTCTTTAATTTCCCCTCTCCATTTAATGAAACGATACAAAATGGGTTTAAAAATCAAAAGGTCCTCCCTTTTACAGTTGCGGAAACTAATGCATATTGCATGTAATTTCCCTTAGGAAGAGGCACCAAAGTGTAGTGACCAAAACTGTGACCCTTTAGACAAGACTGAATCCCCCATTACAATTTATTAACTATGCAAATTTATGCAATAAACTTAGCCTTTCTGTACTAAATAATTGACGCTTTTATTTATTTATTTATTTAAAATTTATTTATTAAGGATTTCTGTCTCTTCCCCGCCACCCGCCTCCCATTTCCCTCCTCCTCCCTCAATTAAGTGTGTGTCGTCCCCCCCCCCCCCCCCCCCCCCCCCCCCGCTCAGCCTGAAAAGCAATCAGAGTTCCCTGTCCTGTGGGAAGTCCAAGGAACCCCCACCTCCATCCAGGTCTAGTAAGTTGAGCATCCAAACTGCCTAGGCTCCCACAAAGCCAGTGCGTGCAGTAGGATCAGAAACCCATTGCCATTGTTCTTGAGTTCTCAGTAGTCCTCATTGTCCGCTATGTTCAGAGAGTCCAGTTTTATCCCAGGCTTTTTCAGACCCAGGCCAGCTGGCCTTGGTGAGTTCCCAGTAGAACATCCCGGTGTGTGGGTGCACCCCTCGCGGTCCTGAGTTCCTTGCTCGTGCTCTCTTTCCTTCTGCTCCTGATTTGGACCTTGAGGTTTATGTCCGGTGCTCCAATGTGGGTCTCTGTCTCTGATAATTGACCCTTTTATAGACTAAGAAAAATTATCCCTCTCAGTAAGGATTTTTTAACTTTTAAATACTATATTAGTCTTCAGTAGCAATAAGTATTAATGTCTGTATACTTTTGTTCTCTTAACTCATTTACTTTTATTTAGATCTCTAAAAATTATATCTAAATATTTTAAGCATAAAAATTGTACTACTTCATAAATATACTTAAGCAGAGCAGATGAATGCTTAAGCTACTTTTATAAATAAAATTTTTGACACCTGAAGTACAGCCATGGTTTCTAAAAAGCAAAAGTGCATGAAATTAAATTTTTATTGTGGTTTGTATAATTTATTATGTTATGTATGTATGGATGGATGGATGTATTTAATGTAGTGTTCTGTCTGCATGTACACCTGAAGGCCAGAAGACGACACCATGTCTCTTTACAGATGGTTGTGAGCCACCATGTGGTTGCTGGGAATTGAACTCAGGACTTTTGGAAGAGCATCCAGTGCTCTTACCACTGAGTCATCTCTCCAGCCCCCTAATTTACTACTCTTAAAATTTCATACCAGCACAAAGAATTTTCAGAGATTTTTCTCCTTGTTCTAGAAGTGAAAATGTTTATTCACCTGTACATGATGGAGGACTCGTGGCTCTCTATTTTTGGTGCTATAATTATCCTGCAATTCTATACTTCTGTGTCCATGCTATCTGTTTAACGAAATGATAAAGTCAGTTCCCTAGGGATACACATGAAGGGTTTGCATTATAACCAAAATAAGAGTAAGTAACACAAATGAGGATCTCTTGTATTATAGGATCAATGTATTAGGTGTCAGTTGCCCCCCTGTAAGAATTCAAATAATTTAACCATTCTTGATATCTGCTAATTTAGAACCATTTTAGCTAGCATTGTTGGTGCATTTTATCAACTGTAAAAAGCTTTCTTGACCTATATTTGCTACTTGTTCACAGTATACTGAAAAGGATGTATTACTACTCTTCCCTGATACTTCTATAAGTCTAAACAACAGAAAAGAAAAAGAAAAAACTAAACCAAACCCATGTCATTCATTTTATTATTTTAAGTAATGTGTCAAAGAAAAGAAACATCTCATCCAAAATGTCAGCACCACATTATACTTTTAAAAGTCTTGTTTTATGTAAGACTTAATGTACTATATATTTTAGAATTATCGATGTAAAAATTGAATTTTTAAATTTAATTGTAATCTACCTTTATTCTTTTCCTTTGTTTTTCTTTCTCTAATAATTTTATTCTTAGTATGTATTTTCAATAGGCAATTTTAAAAACTTGTTAATAGGATAAAATAGTCAGTGCTAAAAACATTCACACAATATTAGTGATATGGAAAGACACCCATATACAGCTTTGTCTGCTTACCTGATTATTATACATAGCAAGATAATGTGGATATTGATTTATTCCATATGTAATCTTTGAAAACATGCCTGATTCCAGAGGGGATATTTTTTAAAAAATAAGCATAATTATAGTCAATACATGCTTATCTGATTATTTCATGGCTTTAAAGGTATTACTGTTTTATATAAATTTTTATCATAGTACAGAATAATATATGTTTGTTCTCTAGATTTTGAAATATATACTATGCCAGTAGTAACAGTGCCTAGTAATTAGGGTATAAAAGTACTCATTAAATTCAGTTTTCCATGAAATCTCTATACACAAAATTGTGCACTTTTCTAAGTGTGCATGTATGCATGTGTGTGCATGTATCCTTGTAACTGTGAGTTACTTGTCTCTTAGTGTATTAGGCTGTGTTACTCTAATCATATTCCCTAGCCTATATATTCATGTTCTAAAGCATTAGAATATGATGAGGTAAGCCAGGCAGTGTTGGAGCACACCTTTAATCCCAGCACTCGAGAGGCAGAGGCAGGTAAATCTCTGTGAGTTCAAGGCAATCCTGGTCTACAAGAGCTACTCCAGGACACATGTCAAAGCTACAGAGGAACCCTGTCTTCAAAAGCCAGGAAAAAAGGAGTATATGATGAAATACTGAAATTAGGACTAGTATTAAAGAACTTCCACATCAGCATTCTCGAAAAAGATGATGTTGAATATGTGTATCCCTGCCCTCCTTACCTAACATAGATTCCCTACTCCCAAGCAACTTTGACCTTCCAAATTTTACCTTCCATGCTGCTTTAAAAGATGGCATTTGCTACCTTGGTAAAACTTCATAGACGCTTACTTATATCCCGATTTGTTATCTGCCGCCATTGTTGAAATGCAGGCATCATGAAGATGGCTACTTTGTTTTGTATACTCTTGATTCTAGGTGCCTAGAACCATCCCTGGCACATACAGTCTCTCAATAAATACTTCTGGAATCAGTTAACATATGTACATCTGCTTTCATGTCTACCTAAGATAGCAAGTCAAAATTATACCAAGTATATCAGTAAGTGAGGTTCTTCCAGCTGGAGCTTAAGGACACATATATGCAAGAGACAGCAACAGCTGTCTGTCTAAGCTATACACAGCAGCCTAAGAATATCCATACATGTTCCAAAGAAGTTTTATCATCATCAGAATTTTTTTTCTAAAAGTAGCTTAAATTTTCAGTTGCCTTAGGAATCTTAGCAATCTAGAGTTCAGTGAAAGCAAGAACTATGCCTTATACATTTCTTTGTCTCTAAAACACAGGCTATTGTTAAACACAAATATATATTTAATAAATGATAAATTGAAAAACTGAAGAAGCCTCTCTTAAATACCTCAATTCACCTACCAAGAACTTCCATTTTCATTAGAATTCTGATTAAAACATCAATGTTTTTCAAGAAATACAAACATAATAGTAGATTAAATGTCAGTGATCAGTTTTCTTTAGTGTTATTGTCATCCTTGTGACCCTAACAACATCAATCTACTCTTTCCCGAGAGTAGTCAAATTTGCCCTGTAATAATTCAACCCTTTTCTTACTAAAAAAAATGAACTATATATTAAATTTTATTCTGAACTTTTGCTAATAATTCTTCATTTTCAAAGTTTTTATCATGAGGTCAACTTCTTGATTTATAATTTACTAGACTATGCATATAATATGTATGTTATTGAATTCCTGTGAATATTTTGTTGTATACTAATAGGACTCCAATTGTTCTTTAATTCCCATATATTCTTTAGACTGATATTTACATGATATGTTTTACTAAACTGAAGTTTGTATTTAAGTTACTTTTTCTTAAAATTACAATTTATATTTGAATAGATACCCATGAGAGATACAACTTTCCTCTCCTCCGGATATGCTAGGTATATGATACATACAGCACCATTTGGAAAAGTTGTGAAATATGTGACTCAGTTAATAATGTGTAGCTGAAAGACATCCAGGATCTTAGGAGAAAAAAAAATCTCAACAACAGGTTTTCTTTCATCTACATCTGAATCAGACTGTTCCACAATTTGATGATACTAAAACTCTAACAATAATTCCAAAATTGGTTAAGGTAAATTCTCCCTGATTTCAGTTCTGGGAAAACATTTGGCCCATGCTCAGAATTTCCAGGTGGGAGATTGTCAGTTTGTTTACAAATATTTGTGACTTGATAATCCAGTGGTTGAAATGATGCCTACAGGAATATTCCTGGTAGAGTTAAATAGAAATTGAAATAATATTTGACTTCACTAACAATAGCAACAATACTTAAGAAATATTAGCTTGCTGTCGTTCATGAAAGTATGTTTTCTAGATCATAATAGGTTAAAATTATATATGTACTTTTTATTTCTGGGGAGCTAAATGCTCTCGTATTTAGGAACAAGATTCAAAAGTACTTCTGAGATGTAATTCCCTTTGGGTCATTTAACTTAATTGAGTATATTCAAACTATTATTTCATGGTAAAGCTATTATTTTTACAGGCAAGCTTTGTAACATTTTCTCCTATCTCTATAAATTAGACTGACTCTTAAAAAGTGTCTTCAAAAGAGTATTTGTTCTGAAAAAAAAAACAAAAGAGTGGGCATTTTTGTAGTGCTTATATATTTGAAGGAAAAGAAATGATATGGCTTTGGTCATCTCAAAATCTGTTATATTCCACACATTAACAGCTTTACATAACTGTTTCATTGGAATTGTATCAGTGTGGGAACAATTTGCACTACAGTAGATTATTGCCTATTGAAGGCTTCAATTTTTTTTCAAGTTTAATAAAGAACGTATTTTATATGTAGGGTTATCCTATACTTAGACATTTTGCAATAAATATTTCTAACAAATATAATGAATTATCATTGATTTCTTTCTTTTTCTAGATGGCTTAATAGAATTAACATGATGACTGCAGGATATGCAGAAAGGGAGAGGATTAAGCAAGAACAAGGTAAAGGAATACCTTTTATTTTATAATCCTGTTACACTTTTTTCTTACATAAAAAGGCAGAGCTAATGAGGAAATAATTTTTCTAAAGAAAATCATCAGTGACTCTTGATATAGCATTGATAAGGGAAAGATGCAGTATTTTATTAAATATTAATGTATTTCTGCAAAGACCCTCAATGGGTTCTGTTAAAAAAGATAAGCTTGGTGCAATATAGAAAATGAAACCTAATAACATACATATCAAGTTCCAGGAAACAAGGGTAAGCAGAGTCCTTCCAGGAAGGGAGTGGGGGAACGACTTTTGGTTGGCTCTGTTTTCTGAAGTAACTTTTGTAATGAGGAAATGGTGTGGACCAATCACTATAATATTCCACAGTATGGAAGCAGATTGCATAATTCTACAAATACTGGAGAGGCCATCTTCTTCAAGTCAGTACGTGCAGGCAAACTTCATCCAACACTCTACTGTAGTAAAGGTGTCTGGTGGCGTAAAATTCTTCACTTTATGGCTCAGTGTAATTTTTAGACTTTCCTTTGTGGTAAGAGTACTGAAAAAAAATACTAGCCTTCCTTTTCAGATTTCTTGAAAAGGTGTGAAATAGCTCTTCAAAGGTGTTTTGGCTGATTGTTTAAAGATAATAGAGTTGTAAATATGGGTAATATGTAGATAGTAAAATTAACCTAGAAAAATATCAAATTGTATATATCGCAGAACTTTTATTATCAAATTTCAGAATTTTATTACCTGATGTTGCTTTCAAGTTGAGAATAAGCTGGATTGTAATCAATTGCCTTTATTATGGAAGCAAGTTTTATTGTGGAGGAGAGGACAGGTTAATTTATATTGCATGTGCAAGTTCCAATGAGTATTTTGTGGTACATGCTGCCTTGCCCTATTGTATAAGTATATATTTTAATGCCTACTAAATAAAGTTTGGTAGAAAAATCAGACCAACGATAATACTTGCTATTTCCACAGAGTAAAAAGGTACCTTAACATACATCAGAAACATACTAGACTTCCTATTTAATATATAGTTAAGTCTCTTGGCCTTCTACTTAGGAAACTGATAAGAATGCATATCAACTCCACACTTCTATGGTTATTTGATATCTCCTAAGTAATTCTTAATGCTGAAGTTAAATTGCAAACACAATATAACTCTGTAAGGTTTTAAAAAGAAAATGCTGGTATCCAAAGGCTATGAAGAACTACGTAGGTAGTGGACAAAGTAATGAACAAGTACTGTTATACTGTTGTGTAAGAGGAAAGTGGAAAGGTTCTGCTTGACACTAAGATGCATATAGGTAATGATAATGCAGTATATATTTCAGAAATCTAGAAAGGGGAATTTTAATATTTTACAGTAGAAATAATTTCTTGATATCATTGTAAAGTTTTAATCACATAAAAATTAATGACCTATCAGCAAGATGTCTCTGTCAATTCTAGAGTTTTGGAAGTTGCTTACAATGTACTTCCTGTTAGCTTAGGTAATATTATCTCCTTCTGGGGTTTTTGAAGAGTTGAAGACACACAGTTATAGTTATAGTTATAGTTATAGTTATAGTTATAGTTATAGTTATAGTTATAGTTATTGAATTCCTTAGAATGGTAAAGGATAAATTAGATATAAAACTTTAGACTCACAAAGATAGGATAGATGATAGAGTATTTTCCTTAATTTGCCAAATGTAAATGGACTAAATATTGTAACAATAATTCTGGCTTGAGAACTATTTTGTATATGTAATTTTACTATGTTAAAGTTAAAACCTTCCTTTTTATTTAGACAGAAAAGGGGAGATAAAGTGGGATTCCCCTCTTTATGCTATGAATTCAATTGGTTAATAAAGAAACTGCTTTGGCCTACGGCAAGGCAAAATATAGCCAGGATGGAAGAGATATATATATAGAAAGAGAGAATAGGCGGAGTCAGAGAGACACCAGGTAGCTGCCAAAGGAGATGGACACACCAGAATCTTACCAGTAATCCACAGCATTGTGGTGATACACAGATGAAAAGAAATGGGTTAATTTAAGATGCAAGAGTTAGTTAATAAGAAGCCTCAGCTAATAGGTCAAGCAGTGTTGTAATTAATATTAAAAAATTAATGACCTATATGATACTTCTTTGATAGTTCTAAATAAGAACAAGCTTTAAAAATATGTCCTTTGTGTCAACATATAATGGTAAAAAGGGACCTTCCCTCTTCTACTGATGGCCGTGTTTATTCATAATTACTTATAAATTTTGATATTTCACATGACAAATCAAAATATATATTTAGATTTTTTAAGAGAAAAAATTCTATTTGCTCTTAGAAAAAAATCAGGCTGGTTTCAGCCAGTAAGCTATAGTGTATGTATTATTTCACATGTTCCTAAAGAGCCTAATTTTCAATGTTGCCTTTTTTCTGGCATTGTTCTCTCCCTTACAGCTTAGCATAAGAAGTTGATATGTAAAGTAATATTTCTGCTTTTTCTTTAGAACCCCAGAAAATGTTTAGATTGTTATTGCTTTTTAATAAGCCAAAAATTGCATCAAATAGGGATTAGAGTTTTTCCTAATTTAGCTGAGTAGGAAAAATAAACACTTCAGATTTCTTATGTATGGCAATGGCTCTAGAGCTATGGATAAAATGCTAATCATCTCTTTTCTAGTGTGCTAATAAGGACCACTTGAGGTATTATTTCACCAAAATGTCATGGTATCCTTAATGCAAACATTAAGGATAAACTCACCCAGCATTCTTGGAAACAGTGGGAAGTATAAGAGTAGAGTGAGCTTAGCAAGCTTTGTGTGCTGGGGCTGGGAGGAGGGTGAATTGAATGCTAGTGTTAACTTCCAGGAAGATTCCAGGCTCTCACAAAACTGCGCAGACCCTAGGACTCCAGATTTCATTCTTCATTGCTCAAAAATACCACAAAGAAATAAAGACTATCTGTGAAAAAATGAACATCATCAGTCATTTACTGCCTTTGTGATCTGTGTCAGACTGCCCTGGAATAAAATCTGCAAATATACCCCACAAGATAAATGCTGCTAATATCTCTGGAGTGGATTCAAAGTACAAAGCAGTTGATTATATGTTACTTTATTTAGTACTACCACATACACAACTACAAAAGTCAGTTATTATTAGCTGTTCTTTCTCAGATTAGAAAATAGGCCCAACAATAAAGTTAAATAATGCCTATAAGAGGGTCAATGCATAAAGTAGTTGTATGGTGACGAATTGAACCTTTGCCTGCTTCTGAATATCAGACATGCTTTTTTTCACAATCATTTAATAAATGTTTCTGGGTATCTATGCCAATTCATCTTTGAGGGAGGACTTAGTTATATTGGTGGTCATTGTCCAGTGTCTCCATTATTTTCCATTGAGCTTTTGAGATAGGGTTTAGCTGTGTAACCCAAGCTGATCTCAACCTGAAAATCCTAGGTCAGCCTCCTGAGCTCTGAGTTACAGTTGTGTGCTTCCATGACCAGTTTCTCAAAACCAAAAAAAAAAAGGTACTAATTGAGATTGGAGACTTTGTATATTTTTCTCAGTGGGCGTTGTCAGGGTCCTTGTGTTTTAAGGCCTGAATAGAAGGGGCAGTTTATTTTATGTCCTATATCTATTGCTAGAGACTTTCTATTGACAGTAACAGAAGTGAAAAGTCAGGAGTGGGTAAAGGAGATTAAATTGCATAACTATACCCAACATTAAACTGTTGTGTTAAACTGATGTGTCTGATGTGTCAAGCAAGAGTCCCGGAAATGTAATTCTCAGAGCTTTGGCTCAAGTCAGTTTCTTAGTTCAAATCCAGCTCCATTATTCCCTACCAGGAATGGAACAATTTCTGAAAAAAAATCTAGTTGCATTCATTTTTAGTCAGTAGCATGGGAAAAACATTACAACTGAAAGTTTCTAGAAAGGGAAGGGCTCATACTAAATTATGTGTAGGGATTTTTCCCTTGAATCTGAACACCACATAAGTCTTGTGGTACTTGTTTTAGGATATAAGTTTTCATACAGATTTCCTTTTCTCTTAATCCCTGTTCTCTCTCCTACAATTGCTGTAGAAATTATCCTGCTTCTCTTTGCTTGTAACTCACAGAAGGAATCAGCGCAGGAGTTAGGACCACGATATAGTCTAACTGATTCTGATATGAATCTGGTGCTGGATTTGACTTACAATATTAATATATCTCTCAGAGTTGAACTTCCCTCTTGTCTCAGTTCTGCCAAGTATCTTCGTCTATCAGCTTATAGTTGTTATCTTTTTAAGTAGTTCTGAAATTTGGGGCTTGGAGCACCCATCAGCAAGTATTCAAATTTTTTTTGCACTTGGCCAGATTTAGGGTTTGCCATGCCTTTCCAAGGAGAGGTGGGAGTATGATACTATAAAGATTCATGTCACCATGACACTAGAAAACAGCAATTGTTAGATAACCAGTGAAGGGAAGCCAAAGCAATTTCAAACATTAATTTGGAGATGTTTATATCAGAGATATACAGCAGCAGCATACGGTTTATTGCATCTCTTCTCTGAGCATTCATCACGGTAATGTGACATACTTTAAAAACATCCTGTGGCATTTATTAAGTAAAGCTTCTGAAAAAAAATGTTCTAAAATTAAACATTCCCTCCACCTGTTGTGGCTTATAGAGTATCTTTCCCTTAGCTGTCTTAAGACTGGCTGTTTGTCATTAATTTTTCATGGGGTTGGGATTAGGTTATTGTGTTCTTCTTCTCCAAAACAGCTAAAAATGAAGCTGGACTCTTGAGCAGGGTGATGATGGTAAACATGCCATAGGAATTGAACTTAAGTCTTGTTTTGGTTAAGAGATATTATCTTTTCTTGAGGATATGTCTGTAAATACTTACTAAAGCCTCGGGGTGTCCATGTCTGTAAACTTTCAGACTACTGGAGTGAGATTGACAAAGAAGAAGCAGATACTCCATCAACACCGAAGCAAGACAGCCCTCCGCCCCCCTATGATACATACCCACGGCCTCCCTCTGTAAGTTACATGTGCGGGTGCTTACTACATGGCAGGGCAACTTGAACTTAATGATCCATTTATATGTTTAAAAGAAAGTATATTAAATTCCAAGTCAGATGAGATTTCATAGGGAAAAGAACATTGATGATCTAAACTCAGAAGGAAAATATGTTAATATATTTATTCAAGGGAAATAATCATCACAGGTTGTTGGCAGAATGAATTTGCCAGGCTTAAGGGAGCAAAAAAGAACAGAAAAGTTTCCTTACCAAAAGATGTAAATTGATCTTACTTATTCTATACTAATAAAGTCAATTTATGTATTTTAGAAACAACTAATGAATATTAGCACTATAGTACTGGAGGTCCAGCTCAGTAATAGATATCATAATGCTATCTTAGTTTGCTTTCTATTGTTGTAGGAAAATAGCATAACCTAAAGCAACTTGGGAAAGTTTATTTGGCTTATAAGTACTGATTATAATCCATCATTGAGGGAAGCCAAGGCAGGAACACAAGCACAGCAAAACCCAGAGGTAGGAACTCAAGCAGAGACCCTGGTGGAACTCTATTTACTGGCTTGCTCAGCCTGCTTTCTCATACAACCCAGGACCACCTGCCCAGGGGTCATAGCACCCACAGTGGCATGGGCCTTGGGCCCTCCAACATCAATCATTAATCAAGAAAATGCCACACAAGCTTGCCTTCATAACAGTTTGATAGGGTTATTTTATCAATTGGCATTCCTTCTTCCTGATAATCTAGCTTGTGTCAAGTTTGAAAAAAAATAACCAGCACAGATGCACATATCCCTGGGTTTTGGATATAGCCATGGTATCTGCTTTAATATATATGTTTATGGTGTTCCAGAATTCTTATGGAATTTTCTTAAGTCTATAACTCATTCTATGTGTAGACTATATATATATATATATATATGTATATATATATATATATATATATACATATATATATATATATATTTCATTCTTTTACTGAGGTAATTACCCTACTTTTCTTAAGACTATGCCAATTTATGCCTGTTTCCCATCAAAATTACTGAGCATATGTCAGTGTTTCCATTTAATTTTGTGGTCATGTTACCAAAATAATCAACTCTCTGTATCTTGGGGCTTAGTCTTCCACAAAGGAAAAGGAAGTAAGTTTATGTGACTATACCAGTCAACTTCATTTAACCTTTGCATTATTCCAAGTAATTAATATTTTCCCTTTCTTTAAAAACCCCAGGATCTGAATGATTCCTTTGAAATTTATAAAAAATGAAAGGGGGCCACAGCTTTGCTTTTTTGAAATTATTGTTTTAATTATCTACCAAGAAGTAGATTTGCATATGGTTTTTTAAATGTATCCTTAGTTTTGTTTAAGCCTACCCCTGCCCCCACTCTCTGACCCCTCTGTCTCCATCCCCCACTTAAATCTCCAGTCCCCAGCATTCCCTCTGTACTCTCGTTGTTCTACTCCTCTTCTGATAAATGCATCTTTTTCCCTTTGAGCAACAATAGCGTCTTGGAAAGAAACCATTCATATTATTGTAGTTAATTTGTTGTTCAACATACTACTCGATATGTTGAAAGGTAACAATCTGCCCATGGATGATGCTAAGTAATTTCTGTCCCTTTTCCGAAAGGGGCGGTATGTTCATAGCAGCTAAATTTGTCCTGGCTGCCGCTTCAACACCATTTGTAATTAACAAGTGTAGCTCCTTGCAGAAAGGCACCTGGGCTAGCCTGCTAGCCTCTGTAGCTGGAATAAGGCTTTTCCCAGGTAGAGTGTTTCACTTGAAATGTTTTATAGCATTTTATTGATGCTATTCATCTTTCTTGTTTGTCTTTTATACTATAATATATATTGTCACATTTCACATTTATGCACAGAATAAATTCCTTTTTATGTAGTCTATAGTGTCTATACTCACAGAAAATGCCAGTCCCCAACAAACTATAACTTCATCCTGCCTGTAGTCTCCAGAAATTACGATAGAATATACAAGACCATAAGACAGCTTTTCTGTGGTACCCATAGAAACAGACATTTACTTTTGAAGAAGCAGAAAGGTTTGCTTTGTTTATAGACAACTTGTTCTCATATATAAAGGCCTCTCTCTCTTTCTCTTACCCCCTAAGCTGCCTAAAATCCAGAAATAGGAATCTATGGGCATTTTTTTAGAATTTCGAATTATGTAGAGAATTTAAAATTGTTTAGTTGCTGAGTGTTTCTTATATAAACATTTACAATTACTCATCCTTCCATTATTATCAGATTTGTACTATTGTATCAGATGTTTCATGGACAGCTGTTACATCTGTATCTCAGGACATCTGAATTCCTAACTATTAAAGTATAAACTGGGTCCTAAACTGAAGTGTCTACAAATGTGCTCAGTTGTTACTTGACTGTGTAAGAATCCATGTAATCCATGTAAATACTCTATGGTAAAAAGAAAATAAGTTCTTTGACCATCGAAATAGTCTGCCATTTCTGTGGAAACTGATGAGGGGCTCCTTTCCACAGATGAGTTGCGCCAGTCCTTATGTGGAAACAAAGCACAGCCGGCTCTCCTCCACTGAGACCTCTCAGTCTTCACATGAGGAGTTCCGCCAGGAAGTTACTGGGAGCAGTGCCGTGTCCCCCATTCGCAAGACAGCCAGTCAGCGCCGCTCCTGGCAGGATTTAATCGAGACACCGCTGACAAGTTCAGGCTTACATTACCTTCAGACTCTGCCTCTGGAAGATTCTGTCTTCTCTGACTCGGCGGCCATCTCCCCTGAGCACAGGCGACAGTCTACTCTTCCCACTCAGAAGTGCCATCTCCAGGATCACTATGGCCCATACCCATTAGCGGAGAGTGAGAGGATGCAGGTGTTAAACGGCAATGGGGGCAAGCCCCGAAGTTTTACTCTGCCTCGAGACAGCGGGTTCAACCACTGCTGTCTGAATGCACCGGTTAGTGCCTGTGACCCACAAGATGACATCCAGCCACCAGAGGTGGAAGAAGAGGAGGAAGAGGAAGAAGGGGAGGCAGCAGGAGAAAACATAGGCGAGAAAAGTAAGTATGTTTATGGAAATTCTTAGCCCGTATGCACAGTTAGACCTTTTCAACTTGGTTATTTGAATCTGGTTCCCTTGGAAAAAAAGGAATGGTCATACTGCATAGAAAGTTAGGGCTCCCTAATTTATGAACCAGGCCAAACATCACTAGAACAAATACTTTTGCTCTCAACTCCCCATTTACTTTTTAAAGGTCATAATTTTCATTTCTTTGCTTTCTTTTCTTCCCTGTTTCTTCTCCTTGCTTTCATGCATCATCTTGCTAGTCCCCAGTGATTGCCCCCTAAGTCTGCATTAAGGAACTATAAATGTTTCAAGTAGGGTGGTAACAAAGCCCTGGTTGAATAACCAAACACACACACACACACACACACACACACACAAACACATGGCCACCAGCATTAACACAAATACTTTTATATCTTTCCTTTCACTGGCGGATTTAAAGGAGAAGCCTGAAAAACACTTTCCCACCCAGAAGTTTCATAAAGCATTTGTCACCTTTGCTCAGCTTTTTCTAGAAACCAATTTGCCAGAAGCATCCATTTATTTGGTTGGTATGTACATTAATCCCAAAACTCTATTTATGGTTATCAACTTTAAAGAAAAAGAAAATAATTCGGAAACCTTCTGGTAACTCTCTAGGGCATCATAAAAAATATTCTCAGTCAAGCATAGTGACACATACATATATACTTAGGATGTAGAGACAGGGGGGTCAGGAATTTAAAGCCATTAAAATACACAGCAAACTCAGAGCTAATGCGGGTTACATGAGACCCACCCCCACCCAAAAAAAAGGGCTGAATCTGTTTACTAGCTATCAAGTTTGTTATATAGATGCCAAGCTTCTGTTTCTAACTACCGTGTTCACTGGTCAGGAAACCCTAACTTATTTAAGGAAAGACTATAACTCAGTTATTTAAATCAAAGTTCTGGCTCTAATTTATAAAAGTAAAAAGAAAAGATTGCAGGTGAAAAGCACTAAGCTCTTTATTTAATGCAGTTTAAGTCAGCTAGTGCAGAAGACTAGCTCCCCCTTTTGAAGATACAAATAGAATAAAATATTCACCCCATTAGTCAAGTATATGAGACCTTGATTAGAGGATACATTAGCATAAGTTCTTTATTACTAGTGGAAAAAACAACTCCTTGCATACAAGTAACTAACAGGTCCGGAATCTGATTTCAGTGTCAGTGTGAACCTTGGTGTCTTTCACATCGGAGCCTCTCATGCTCACTGACTTAGAAGTATTCTATGTCTTCCACCAGCAAGATAAAAGGACCCCTTGTAATAACATTCACAGGCTAAGACTGTTTCGGGGTAAAGTATATTTTAAATACAGTCTCCATGAGAAATATTACGAAAGATGTGACTGTCTATACTGGAAAGGTAATTAGCACCCATCACCTGCAAACAGTACCAACATCCGTATCTATCAGAGATTATAGAAGATGCTTACGAAAGGAATATTTAGGAGTCACCGTAGGCTTTTTATAGAAGATCTATCAATCCTAATATATGCTTCATATTGTAATGATTACCAGAATTAACAAAGTCTTTTCTAAATTTTAAGTATTGATTAGAAAAATTGTTATAGCTCTCATTCAGGTGCTTTACAACTACTATACATAATACATAAATATGGGGGTTTTGTTTATTATTATGTAAACCCTAGAAAAGGAAAATACTCAACCTTAGACAATTAAACAATATTAAATTCTCTTCATAAAACTTTCTATCCATTCTATAGGCAGAGTCATCAATGTTAGCTTTTTAAAGTGATTTATTGGGTTTATCCTAATCATAATGTTGGGAAGAAGCAGGAAGATGCAATCATGTCTGACACATGGTACCAGGCCTGCCCTTTTTTTCAGGTTTCCAAAATCCCATAGTGTCTCTAGTTAGATGGATTTTGATATTTTTTTAAGAATCCTCTTTTTGTTGTTCTGTGTATAGGATTTATTTTTCGGACGTATGGATGTACCCCTGTGTTTATATGATTTTTTTAAAAGTTCAGGTTCCAATTGTCTTAATTGCATAATTATTTGATGCTCTCTTTTTCAGTGAAGCTCTTTATAGAATAAACATGCCAATAAATGTAACATTATACATTTTGTTATTACAGCCCAATACTGTGGGGAAGTCCATACAATTTCAATAAAATTTGTTTCACTAAAATGGTTATGTACTATCTTTGAGACCCCCATCTACTTCTATTGGGGTACTCATAAATCTTCCCATTTGATTTTTTTCTGTGTACTTCCAACTATTTTGTATGGAGCACTGCATCCCATTTTGCCTAGACATTTTTTCTTATTCACTGTAATGTAAAATCCCTTTCTAATAGTAAGGGATTTTTATTCTAAATATTTAGGCTTTTACAACATGATGAATGCTTCATTTGGAAAAAGATTCACTTTACAAATCAGTATTTTCAAAATACTGTTTAGGATCTAGTTAAAAGATGTCATAATCTTGCCTTGTGTAGACTGGTCCTTAGAAATAACTGCAAAGGCTGATAATTCAGATGGAGCTGCTTGATATTATGCCAAAACAAATTATACACAGAACAAGAATTCATGATCATTATGTTAGCATCACAAATGTACATCCTCTGACACATTTTTGTAGCCACACAGATTGACAACCATACAAACTTGCAAAAGTCAGAGTCTCTCAGTAGCTTGCTTCTATCCTGCTTGAGGCCAGCATTCAAGTTTGATCCACTAGAGAGACTGTGTACTAACCATGGGCATGGGTGCAAGGAAATTGAGTATTAGGTTTCTGGCTCAGAACTTTTTTTTTCATTTTGCCTAAACATTGAAAATAGGGAGTATTTAGACAAGTGAGCAAAACGGGTAATACAAAACATGAAAATGTAAATTGTTTTATAGAGAAGTATCATTAACAAAACTCCTTTTATGTAGTTTCTTTTGTCTCAATCTATATAGTGTTATACACTGAGTGACATGTTTGCAATGAACTCCCAAGAACAAAATGTACCTAAGTCCACACCCTGAAAAGTTTTTCATTTCCTTGTGGTTATAAAATTTAGCCTTAATTTACAAAGGGCAAATTTAGCCTTCTATAGAACAGACTGTAATCTGTGTTTTCATGGCTGAACTACCTTTTGTCTGATTTTGAAATTCAGTTATTTAACTGAGTCATACTGTGACAATTTTCTCAGGCTGAGCTCCTTTTAGTCTGAACTAGATGGCCCTAAAAGTACACAGATGAGATGAGATATGTCTTGTTTTCCTTTGACTGAAAAGTCAGCATGCATATTAATTATCCTGACCTACTTCACTGGCATTTGGGAAAAGACAAGTAATTTCCTATTATCCCAATTAGCAGTTTCAAAGCTTACTGGGATATGGGCCTTTTAATAATCTCCTTAAATTAAATTATTAATTATGTCAGCCTCTACAACTTTTAAAGAGTATGAATCATTATAGTATAAGACAAAATATAAAGCTATACTTAATTCAGAAATGATTTGTTATTAACACTAAAGTACTATCTTGAGTAACATAGTTAGCATTGGCTAGAATGCCTTTTACTACTTTGTAGTAGTAGGGAATTAAGATGAGGTTTCCAAAAGCTTTATCCCTTGATTCTGCTCATATCCTCCTTGGCAGTTATAAGATAGTCTTTCTTAGATATGTGCACACACGTTCTTTGTGCGCTCATTTCTTCAATAAAGTCATAATGTTCTATTTTTCATTATCTTGAGATTACCTATTGGTATTCTTATTTAATTTACACATGTATTTAGCTTAGTCTTCAAAATCTAAAGTAAAACCTAGCTCTTTCAGCCAGAATGGAAAGAGATTCATTCTATTACCATGTAACAACAGTATACATGGTAATTAGATTATCTGGAAGTGATATCCATGCTTTCCAAATTAGAACACCTGAAAAATACTTGCTTAATTTTCATTTTAAAATACAGTATTCTTTGCACACCACTGGCAACGTGGGAGCTGTACAGATTGTTTTGTGGTTCAGTAGCCCACTATCTGGAACTATCTAGACGGAGACGCTGAGGAACGACTACTAATAGAGTGCAGAGAAGCCTTCAACCTGTTCAGTTATTGTAAGAGTCCAAGAGTCATTTCTTGGAGAGGCACTAAAAGGTAGACGTTTCTTTAAGAGCATTCTGGTAGATTGTGGGCAACAAGATGATGTACTTTGAATACAAACCTGCATTGAAGGTGGAGTTGAAGGAATGGAACAAGTTGAGAAGAAAGGAAAATGTTGCATCACTTTTGTGTTTTCAAGGTAAATTTTGAACACAAGTAAATTATTTGGGGAGAGCATCATCATAAATAATCTCTGAAGTTATTGTGGAAATCTAAATGGAGTAGATAAAGAATGACACAAGCAAGCTGAATTTAAAAGATGTAATAAAGTCAAAGAAGAGTAGAGTACCTTAAATATGTCAATTTTTTGAAGTTTTAGGCACTATCCTTGGCTGGATATACAAGTAAATATAAAGAAAGAACAGAAAATCGAGGGGGGAAATCTCAATATCAGATTATCTGATGTATATAGAATACTGTAAGTGAATATAAAACACTGATAATTATATGTAAAATCACCTATCTATAATTCTAATACTGTTTAGAAGTTAGACTTAAATCACACTGCCCTCATTTTTGCCTACATGATAAAGACAATTATTTACCATTATTGATATGAAGCAGAAATCAAATCATTGTGTGTCTGTTTATTTTAGACATTATTTAAAGCTAGAATTTGGAAGGATTTAGCATACCCTGTTTATGTTGGGATTCTAGTGACTAGAATTGCTGCTCTTTGCACCATGGCAACTTTCTTTTAAATAGTTTATCTATTTTTATTTTATGTGTGTTGGTATTTTGCCTGCATGTAAGCTGGTGTGAGAGTGTCAGGTCTTGGAGTTATAGACAGTTGTTAGCTGCCATGTGGGAGCTGAGACTTGAATCTGGGGCCTCTGTCAGAACAGTTGGTGC